TGTACCGAATTTAAACTTAGTATCTTATCAATTACCCAAATTATTAAAAAAAATCAGTTTTTAATTTCAAACTTTGTCGCCCTGTATATCGAACATGAAGCTCTAAATTGAAAAATGGTATTATGAACGTCTTATTGTTTTAACTCAAGGATTATATGGTCAACGGATTGACCTCCTTTTCCCGGACACCCTGTATAGTAATTTAGGAAATCCACTAATTTTAGAATCCCAGGCATTTAATTAGTTTTGTGGTAAAATTAACATAAGGGTGATTCTACAAAAGTTGGACAACTTGATGTTATCAGTCAATAGAGTAGGTATTTTAATATATTTTTTAAATATTTTAGTATATTACAAATGATCCAGGTTTTTTTAACTTGTCCACCCAATTTTAATGTATTTTTTCAAAAGCACGTTTATAGAAAAACATAATAAATATTCAAAACAGTACCTTGGCGTATCACAACTCCTGAATTAAATATTTGAGTGATTTTATTTTAAAATATATTCAATTTATTTACAATTTTTCAATTTCACTACAAACTATAAAACATTAAATAATCATAGATTCGAATAATAGCAATTTTAAAAAAATTGATAATCTTTGTTCTCACTTTTACCCGTCAGTTCTGTGTCTAATGTTAAAATATATTGAATACAATGCAAGCGGCGAAGTTGTGGTGAATGCACGTATAGTTCCAGTCAAAATTTCAGTACTGTGGTGAGTAGTTATTTTCTTGTAATTTGTTGATAAGTAGCATCCACTAATAAAAAATATCAGTAAAATACTTAATTCCGAATTATAATCTCAAATTTGTATCAGTACCGTGTCGTCAGTTCCATGTTCGATGTTTCGGTTATCTTTTTTTCGCAAACTTCAATTTAAATTCTGCTTGCGCAGAACTTGCTTATTTAATGTCATTATAAACTCATATAAATTTGGTGTGGATCCCATATATAATAATTGAGATATCGGTATACCCAAAATCCACCAGCCGCCACTGACGTGTGGTATTATTTGATTTTAAGATATTTAATTTATAATATGCTCAAAGTTGCAATAAATCTTATATTCTCCAATAAATTATGTATTTAATTAGTACTCTGTTTGAAAAAGTGACTGGCCCGGTCTGGAACAGTATATTTATTATATTATCTATGTTCTCATAACAAAATACTGTTTAATTTTCTCCGAAAACTATATAAACATAATGAGGTCAAAAGTTGCCCAACTTTTACAAATTACAGAGTTTTTAAAAAGAAATTCATTCTTAAAACCAAATAACCAAAACTTTAAAAATGTTGCCGAACATTTTCTCATAGAATTCACCTGTACCCAACGTTACACAACAATTAAACTTAAATCCCCAAAAAAATGCAACCGTTCAAAGCCTAAATGAGGTATAATCCTTCTTGAGCCCGGTTAGTCCGCGTAGCGTAAAAATCCAAGTAAGCAAACAGCCAAAAAGTCCATTGTTAGCCCGTTTAATGAATGCACGTGAACTGAAAGCGCCCAGCGAAGCCAAAATCCTTCGGACGAGCCGAAGGCACAGCCGTAAATTCACAAAAGACGTCGTCGTGTTGTTGGCTTCGTGAAAACGGCCCCGGTTCTTATTTATGTTTCTATTTTCAATGCCTTTAACGACATACTTAAATGTTTGTTATTTTCCGATGTTCCGGTCTCGACGACTTAAATAAATCCAGAATATCGCTGCAGCAGCCGCATCAAAACCATGTTTGTTTACGCCAGATTGTATAATACCTTTGCATCGAGGAAATTAATACACAACCCGACACATTTTGTTTTATATGAGCGCACAGTGTGAAATTTGAATAAATGTATACCACGTTCCAGTCGAAAAAAATTCTTATATTAGCAATAAATTACCAGTTCACACATGCACAACAATGTAGTGAGACGAGGAATTCAATTAAGAAGCAGGATGTTTGGGTGATAGAGAAGAATTATAAACGCTTTGTTCTATTCGATTTTATTTTTCAATCTTCCAAACACGCTTAAACTTAATTTCTTCAAGTTTTGAAATTCAATAATCGCTAGTCTGTAGAATACACTGTTCAAAATTTCATGACCATTTTAACACCAAATTAACAACATACATGGTCTATATCGATACAAACCAAAATGGTGTTAAATATGGTTTGTTGGTCCAGTGTAAATTCAAATACTAAAATGGTGTAAATTTAACTTTCACACAGTATTAAAATAAATTTTACCTGGTGTAAATCGAATTCTTTTTCAGTGTTAAATATAATGTGTTTTTGGTCAAATTAAATCATACTACACAGAAAAAAAGGAAAAAAACCAGTGGTATTATTCCAGAAAATTAAACCTTCAACTCGCAAGAGATAATGTTTTTAGTGCGTTCCACCAACTTAAAATACTTCAAATATTGACAGCTGTTTCCACCTATTTAAGGTCTCTTTAGTATCGAACAACTTGTAGTGTCACACCAAAGCAAAGGACTACCTCAGCTTATATACTCTTCATGTAAGTCAACAGAGGCGAGATTTAAGAACATCTCGTGATCCACACCGCCTTTGCCGCGATCGGTACACACTATGCAACAAGGAATGCACGGCAAATTGTTTTAATCGTTTTAACAGAGTGCTTTATGTTGAAGTAACTCTTATTTTGCAAACAACATATTTAGTAAACTGAACCATACAGCGGGTTGGTTTCACTAAAGTTTTCTGGGTTAATTTAACCAATTTAAAAAAATAAAATAACTATCTGGTTTAGTACCGTCAAACTAATCTTTGTTTACATTAACCTTCCCACAGTTGATTTTAATAAATACTTATGGGTCAACTAAATTAATATAGTTAAATGAACTATTTTTCTGTATAGGTGCACTTCTCAAATATTTTTAGATAAACACCGTTTTGGTGTTTGCTGTATAAAACATTTTCAACCATAATTCATGGTGTTATATTAACACCACTTGGTGTTGGATTTTTACACCATTTTAAGATTACTCTTCACACCACAGATATTTTAAACAGTGTACGGGGACTGTCTGTAGAATAAGGTGGACAATCTGTAGAATACGGTGGACCCGTGACTGTTTGTTCTCGTGTTAGCAAAGCATGTATTGATGGCTGAAACAGAAAGGAACACAACAAATTCTGGACTAAGCATGCCATGGCCCTGAGGAATAAATCTAGAAGGGACCTGGTGAGAATTGAATAGTTCGGAAATCGGGCTTTATGTTGGGGTAATAACGGGACCTGGGGGCCTGGGTACATCTTACAAGCATCTAACATCTTCCACAATAGTTGCTTAAAAATTCCTTAATTCCTGGATATCTGCTTAATAAGAAAGACGTATCGTGAGTTAGCGTAATTAGAAGAGAAATATTGTTGGATTAAGGTTTGTTATGGGATTTGCCGCATGTAATATTTTAAGTGTGTAAGTCCTGAGCATTTCTTATAATCGTAATTTATACGACTGTTGGCTTCAAAAGAAGCTGTTCAGTTGGTCGGTTTCGTTGACAAACGGCTTATGTCTACAAGAAAAATTAACCAGGATACTTTGAGCTTGTGGTGGCAGACTTTACGAAATGTAAAAAATCCCAGCGAACATTTTATATTTATAGAGTCAATTGTCCGCATCCCACAACTTTATATAATGGACTTTTCTTGCTCAAATAATTGTAAAACACCTACGAATACAGCGACTCGGGACATATCTCATTTACTTACAGGGAAAAATTACATGGAATTTAAAGATTAAATAGCATAAATTATTGTCTAGCATGCATAAAAAACTTACGTCTGCGGTAGATGAACGTAACTCGACTTAAAGTCTTCATTAGTATTTAAAAACATACATTTAGGATTTTTTGCCAAAATATGCGTCCATTTGTATGTGCCTTTTACCGACCTAATTGGTCTTTAAAACTACTCGAACTACAATTAAGCTGTTTTTGTTGCTGCGTTGCATCTTGCAAATAATTGCGCGGATGCCTGCGCGCATTTAAATGTCCCTAAATCATCGTGGCTCTCTTTTTAATTACGTATTAACCAGCTCCACTATAAAGACATATAAATTGGCTCACAATTGCCCGTCCATTAAGGGTCAACAACTCATCTTGACCATTCCGAACTTAATAAGTACTTGCAAAAGTTTCACTTTGTTAAATCAAATATGATCTTTTGCAACTTTGTCCATGATTTTCAGAATAAACTATTCAATGGCTGTCATATTTAAGACTGAATAAACAAATGGTACTATTTTTGCAGATATATTAGCTAATGCCCTACTGTTACACATAAATCTTGCGTCTCACTGATCATATTAAATGGTAGATAGGTTTGGAGAAAGCGGTTGGGCACATTTGTGTCCATTTATCAATCGTTGGTAGCCGTCATTGGGATCTGTCAGTTCCCCTGTCCTGTTCTCTGTCCGTCTGTCTGCGCCAAGACCGTCGTGATTGGGCCGGTTTTTGTCACGAACTCTCCTGCATTGTCAGCCGCATTCCGTTCGACATGTCTATATATCAGACAACACCGCCGAACAACCATAAACCACTTTAATGTTGTTGCAACATTATCGTGTAAGTCGAAATTTGAAACAAAATTTCGGCGCGAATAACCGTATCGAGTACACACCAATTTTACACACTACCCGGTAATACAATATTTAAGTGAGTTATTTTAACAGCTGATTTGTTCTTGTTTGATATTATGTTACAGAAGTGGTTCTTCCAGTTAACGACTACAAAGTTTGCGTTAAAGTTAATTATCGCAGATATATCGCGATGTGTATTCGGTTAAAGACCATTAGGTATAAAGGTTAATTCCCCTTGCTTTCATCAACACATTACCTCCTGAATCAGTGCCTATAAAAGAGTTCGTTATATAGTTCCGATAAAAATTACCATGAGCAATTGTTACGAAACTTTTTTAATTAATTTTTTCGTATTGTGTTCTTGAGCTAGACCAAGAAGTCTTAAAAGTTTTGGAAAAGTTTTTTACAGGATAGCATTTTTTTCAACTGATGAAGGTTCTGTGGTCTTCAATAAAGACTCTTCATCAACGAAGTGCTCAGAACAAATTCTGGTAACATGTCAACCTTTGCTTAAGCTAATCTGCCAAGAAGGCTAACATCCTCCAACGTGTGGCTTTAAGGCGATCATTTACTCTGTTAATTGCTGTTTTATTGGCAGATAAATATAATTTTAGCCTTGCCAATGAACAAAGTGTATCAGTGTTGTTTATATATAGCTCAACATTCCTAATGTGTAAAAATCGGAAAATTAATTCGATAACCCCTTTCTAATCTTTATGGAAGGTTCAGGTCAGCGAGCGCATAAAAACACAGTCATGCGACTAAATTGAAATAATAAAGCGCTGCAATGCACACAACTAGCGAAAATAAACAAATAATGCTGAATAAATGAGGCAAAGCGACGATAGACCTGCTACCGAGACTCCTTTGAATAAATATTCGATTGTGTTGTATACAGCTAGAGCTGCTGCTTGCCGTGTTTGTAAACTTTGCCTCCGACTCTCTTGTTCAATATTTATATTTGCGCTTTAGGAAGCCTGTGCCTGTGCACACTGTTCTTTGACAACGATTAGCTACTTAACGCTATTTGTTCTCACGAGGTGTTAAATGTTTATTTTACTTAATACCCGGCAAACTACATTTTACATTTGGATTAACTTGTTCAATATGCCTGAAACCAAACAATCCCGTTCCAACAAGTGTTAGGTTGTTATCTGAGCCAATACATAAATTATACATATTTGAAACAAAATTTTATTGATTTGACATCAAAACGATAAAATTTTATGATTGAAATTTATTGTTATTGATTTATGTTATTCTCTCAAAAAAACTCTAATGCCAGCCAATGAAGAAATAAATAACCATTAATGTTCAAATTTTGTAGTAATGGCAATAATTATGGAAATAACGGACGGGCACTAATGACTGTATTAATATGTTTTCTATGTTCCATCTTGAAATTCGAATTTAAATTCATACGTATCATCAAGTTATCTCTTTATTATATACGGTGAATATTTTTCGAGAGTTACTATCGTATCTAATTGTAAGTCAAATTACGTACAGTAGTCTAAAATGAAGAATGCAAAATCAACCACACTAGAACCAAACTCATTAACTTTGTATCATCATCGATAATTTTTTCTCGAGATAATTATTAGTGATTACACACATACTACGTTTGGGTTGGCTCAATGGTCCTTTTTATTTGTCCCACCAAAAACCAATCATACAACCACTTTCCTCTTCCTAGCTTTCCAAAGGTTATGAAGGCAAGTCTACAAAAGGTCCATGTAAAAATTTTGGTTCTTAATGTGAATGAAGAACATTTTGAATTAATGGTTGGAGAAATGTTTGTTTCTGAGGACTGTGCGTCAATTTGAGTGAGTGCTTGTGGAATGTGGGTCTATTATATGAAATCAAGTTCCACAAACACAAGCATTAACACTAACAGCGTCCCACCAATTTACATCTCAATATCAACATTTTAATGTTTACTTTGTTTTACGATCTCTTGGCCTTCTAGGTCCACCAAAAAACCGTTTATGGCTGTACGTAGACTTCGCCTAATGCATACTGAATTTTATAGTGCTGTGCTTTATGGCTTTTTCATATTAAACATTTTTTCGTAGAATGCATTATGAGATCCAAAGATACAATATAGTGTACCGCTAGAACTGTCTATTGGACTTGTCTAGATTTGGAGTGCACCATGTGCAAAATTAGCTCATAAAAGACTTATTGGATCCCATTCTCAGTAAACTAATTTGCATTTTTTACGCTGAAAAGCAATCTTGTTGCTTAATATAGTTATCATCGACGTTTTCGCGCCTTGTGTGGCCGTCATCATTATTCAAATCGCGCACCAAAAATATGCAGGATATTAAATAAATTTTATTCCTTTCTGTTTTCGTTTTAATTATTCCATAAGGCTTAGGCATTAGAAATCACGGTGACGACGGACGTATGCATTACAAGGAAACGACAATTTATCCAACGATAACTGACTTTTATAGAATAATCATTAAATACCTTTATAAGTAAGAAGTTAACATTGATACAATTGTGGGTTTGTGGTGGGATTGTTTTGAAATGCTAATGCCATCTGGAGGAAAAAAGTTGTGTATCGGTAACAAACGAGAGGCCAAGAGAAGCGACAAGTAAAAAATGCGGCGAAACAACTTTTTTGCCGGTCGGAGATGCGTTTGATACATATAAATCGTCATTATGGTGCACGGGCCGCATAAAGACATGCCAAAGCGAATGTAGTTCTCAAAAATAATCGCTGCACACACATCCATACGTCAATCGCGGATAATATATGTGCGCCCGACTCTCGGGATTCAAACTGTCTACCACTTGTTACCAGTCTTGTACTTGTTGCTTGTTCTGTTGCCCTTTTTGCCAACGACCGTAGCCACGATACACTTCTCTCTCAAACCAAACAATGATACTTGCCCAAGCTAAAACGGTTTTCAAAGTTAATTTAATAACATGCAAGATCATTGAACATCGTCATAATTGGTCCAACTAAAACAACTTTCCTCCTTAATATGATTTATTTTGATGACTATGACCTCACGACGATGGCCAAAGAACAATATCACCCATAAATCAAGTGATTTAGAAAGTTAGAGTGAAGACGTCAAGTTTGATTTCGAATCATTATCATCAAAGAATGACTGTTAAGCTAGAGGTTTTACGGTGCCTCAGAGCCCAGTTGTTGACTTTTATTTGGGCAATTGTATGGCCCGCAATGATTTGTGGTTCTCTGCATTTCCAAACAATGAAATTACCGAGAAAACGTTCGTTCGAAGACGAACAGGAAGCGAGACCTTTTACCTAAATTTCCTGGAAACTAAACAGGCGCTGGCCATTTTTCGGTACGAATGGTGCATGCTAATTCCCGCTCGTAAATTACTGTTACACGAGTTTGGTGTTAAATGTTTTATAAGTGGCAGAGATGGGCGTTTAGTATTCTGCTTTGTATCAATTATTATGCACCATGAGTAGCTCATTGTAACCTTATCCAAGTAATTACTTTTTTTAAAACCTTCACCCTTTCCGAGCATCATTCAAAATGTTGATTAAATACAGCACTAAAGCATAAAAGGTCAGTGCCGATATTCATACAAGAAGAACCATTAAGCGATTTCTTGCATTAAACCGATAGGTAATTAAAGCCAGTCTTTATATTAAAGCTTAGTGCATTCGGTAATAAATCCGATGTTTTCTCGTTTCGCGATCAGTTCTGTAATTAACTCCGCGAACGTCGTAATTGACCGACAGAGAGGTCCGAAGAAAACACCGCAGAAGAAGAGGAGCCAGCGCACATTGGAACGAATCACCACCACAATCTCAACTTCGACAAACTGCCAAACCCAAGAACCAAATAGGGAACTAAAAAACTGTTTCTTCTTCTGACCCTTCGTGCACGTATCGTTTGGAATGAAGAGCAAGGCCTTGCGATTTACGACCAATCTAATTGTTGAAATAAATATAACTTCATCCGCGGTGTTTTTGTCAACTTGGGCTCCACAATGGCTCTTGGGAAAAGCTAAAACGGCTTGGTTTTTGTCGCGCCGGCATTCTATCCATCCTGAATTATTCAATAGCGGTCGAATGTTTAAAAGTAATAATGGTTTCTTTTGATGACTGCTTTTTAAATAGCCAAGTAAATGAGGGAAGCTTCGATTTTCCACGCAAGTTCGGCTAAATAGCGGGGTGTCTCCTCTTTCCACACCCATGACAAACATAAAGTATTAATCTCGGTGCGTAAACGCGGAAAGTGGTTTTGCGACATCGGCTGGCTCGAAACTGCTTTCGAAGCGGCCACTTTGATCATCGTGGCTGCTTCTAATAGAAGCGGTCGGGATGATTTTGTGAGTTGAATTCGCAGCACGACTCAATGTCATATCGTTTTATATCGAAACTTATTTATGGGCAATCGTTTTTCAGCATTTCAACTTTATTAAGCAATATTGATCATGAAGATATGGTCGATTCTTATTTTTACTCTTATGCCACTGTCTTTCCACATATTTCAAGAAATGTTTAATAGCTTAAGCACATTTAACCTCTTAGAGCTTTAGTGCCTCTTATAAAAGGACAGCCCATATGTTTACAATAATGACCTCTTCAACATATCATGGTAATATTTTTTTACTTCACGTTAGCTACTGGAATGCATTTTAATATCCATTGAACGATTTTTTGTTCTAAATGTCTCTTTATTGTTGTTAATATCGCTTCACGACCGAGAACAGATGCTGGATGCCCGTCTCGAAGCGGTAATTCCAACAAGTGGTTTTTTAATACACCATGCCACTAGTAATTTCGTTTTTTACCATCTTCTAGTGCCATTAGTTCCGTAATTACAAGATGATGGTAATTATGTTTATAATTATACTGTCGCTAATAAGATTTGTTCGTATTATTTTTTTCGCTTGCGAGGTATGTTTGACTTTTCTTCATCAATTGTGTTTAGGTGCACTGTTCAAAATTTTAGCTAATTTTTACCTAAAATATTAGACTATATAGGACCATTGATTTTTTAAGGCAAACTGCTTGAAATGAATTCAGAGGAATATTCCCCTTTTAAATTAGTGAATTCTTTAACTGATATTTTTAAAGAAAATGATATAATTAATTAAGCAAAATTACATAGGTTTCAAAGATAATACACCTTAGATCGTAAGGGATATTGCCTGAAAATAAAAGAATAAATTTCCTGTTTCTAAAGCAATTTGCTTAAATTATTAGGTAAATTTTAGCTAAGTTTTCAGGAAAATTATATATACTTTTAGTGTAAATCCTAGCATAGGAATTTTCTTCCCACTTAGTCCTTTATCTTTGTGTCCTAAGCGAATTAACAACGGCGGTTCCGGTACTACATGTAGTACCGAAACCCTTTAAATAATCCCAACCCTGCAGGGTTATTTAAAAATATATTGGAGTCAATGGGAAATTCCATTTAGTTTGTATTACTGAACTATAGCACTACAAAATGTTCACTTATATCACAATAATTGTTAACTATGTTGTTATATCAATAGCACACAACGCGGTCTTTAAGCTTTCGTTGATTTTGGCG